AGTTCACCGAACACCTCAGGAACGTTGAGCTCGCCGGACATCCCGTACATCTCTACCCATGTACTATCTTGCTCCAGCGCTTCAACAAGTCTGTTTACCAGTCCGACTCTTTCTGCAAGTAACGCCGGGGAACTTGAGAGAACTTGCTCAACCGAAGTCTCTATCAAAGTTTCCACTTCTAGAAAACAGCTCAGAACGACTTGCGCCATTAATCATATCCCTTACCTTCACGCAGCATACGGTAGCTTATGCGAAACTTGAGAGAATCCCGCACTTTGTGTGTGGTGAGTAAGAAGATGAAGTAAAAGTCGAGAGCGAACCTGGTCCATTCACAGAATCAAGATAAAACAAGAAATTGGCAGGCTGGGCTGGTGTAACAGTCTGAAGGAGTCGTGAGTTTCAAGCCATTCGCCGCTTAGACAAACGCACTACAACGCTGCGGGCCTGCGGGGAGCACGCTACCACCTGGAGACCGTCCAAGCCTCCATCAGGAATCTGTAACTGGGCAGCTGAGATGCGGACATGCTGGTGGCTCGTGGTAGAAATTGTGAACTTGGAAAAGAGCCTACAGCCAGGACATCAGACACAAATGTGTGCGAAGGGTACGGCTACCGACCTGTTTCCACGGAAGAAATCTTCAACATTGACAGAGATCGGTAGGGTAGTAGCTACGACTCGTGTTAGGTGCAGGGTCCGGGTTATATCCGGTTCTGCAACTGTGACATACTCCACCTCGACGTCGATTTTCTGCAAAAACAGTCAAGATTTAGGAACACGGTCAAGCTCGAGTTTACCATCGCATGAAATGCAGACGCATCGGAGTAAGGAAGTAGAAGTTCCAGATGACTAGCTTCTGAAAGATTCAGCAGGGATAGGCACTCGTCGTCGGCCTGGAGTGGGTTTACGTCATGTTGTTCTTTGGGAACGTGTGAGACCAGACAATGACAAGACACGAGATGGTTCATACCGTTGGTGAGAGCGATCTGCTTATAACGGAAAGTTACAGAGGGGGCATGGAATTTGATTGACGCTTTCGCAACATGATTCCTTCCTGTAAATACGGCAACAAGGAGGGTAGGCGGCTTCCCAAGCTCGACTGTTTGCATGGTTTGAGCGGAACCAAATCTCCCTGAGAATTCAGTCACTCACTGAGGTTAGGCTGATGGAGCCGAACATCCATAGACAATAGGTCCCGAGGTATTCGGACCAAGGAGAAACCGTTTCTATGACCGGAAGATCTTCCCCCAGAGAGAACTTTGCGATGCGCCCATTGAAAGACAAGATGGGACATACGAGCCTCTGTGCTCTCAAGGATATATGTACCAGCCGACGAAGTCTAAGATTGCGTTAGAAAAAAAGGCAACATCAGAGATGGATAAGACGCACAGGACAGAACAACATTGCTTGGGTTTTTCCTGGGGGTATCGCATCGCAGTGTGCAGCAAATCTTAAACGTTCAGAATCTCTCCCAGACAGTATTGCAGCTATTCCATCGATTGGGACGGCCTGACTTGGGGATGAGTCAAGGAAGCGGGGGAGCAAGGCGAAGGCGCTACGCATGGTAAGTGGTTGTGAATGACAACGTTAAGGAAGGAGCCGTCTTTATCTCCAGCTGGCTTTGCGGTGGGAGACACTTGTATTGACATTGCGGGATGTTCTGGATGCGATAAATCTGAAGTCCAAGTTAGCAGCTTATGGTATAAACGTTTATTTTCCAACCAGATTCAAGTGCGGTTGCAGAGTCCCTCATTGCCAGCACAAGACGGGAGATATACTCCGCGCTATCTTCCTCATGCATGAGTAAATCCAACCCCACAGTATCAACGTAGGTCTTGAGAAATGAAAGAAGAATATGGATCCATTCACGATCTTTAGATTTATCCAGTTCCGCATGTGTATCCAGTGCTAGAGACAGCATCAGTGACTCTAGAGAAGTCCACATATGCGGAGCGTAATGTGCGGGTAAGGATGTATAGGTCGTCAAGGCCGCTGCAAGGCGACCACGGTGACTTCGACGGTTGGATCAGCCTGTGAAAACCTTGAGAGAGGGGGTGACCTACACATCGAGGGCCGCCAAGCTTCCGTGAAGCTTGAGAGCAAACTTTCGACGGCCAGCCTTGGCGTACATGTCGATTGCGCGATTCGTTATGCCCACATATGTCTCGTAGAATGTGTCTCTATTTTGAATAGATTCCAAGATGTCTGAGCTGGAGATTTTCTTCTCTGATGCGGGCGAGCCGGAGGAAGAAGGGGCTCGAGGGGAATTGGAAAAGGGAGGACGTGCAGGAAGGTGTCCAACTTTAACACCTATTATATCCAACTTTTTATCGGTCAGGAGCCTGCAAAAATAACATCCGAAGATTGATACCTGGTTTCGAGCCAGCTCCAACAATTCGCCCTTTCCCGCATTGAAAGTGCTAAGCTTAGAACCTTGAAGACTGAGGGTCGCAGCCCAGGCGTCGCATTGATCCACAACACTGAGGGCGGAAGAATATGTCCAGGATTCGACAAAGAATTCAGGAATGGTCTCCTAAGGAACTTGAGCATTGGTCCACTGTGCCCAAAACAAAAGAACGCACCTCGACTTCACGTAATCGGCGACCAAAGGCGCCGAGAAATGCTCCAGATTTTCTGCTAACCTCATTGATTCGGCCCAGGTTAGCGAGAAGTTCGCATTGACGAGCAAGAAGGTATATTCGGAAGTCGAATACGGATATGGTGTTGGCGAGAATTAAATCCCGGTACGGCTTCTTGGAGATCGACAAGAGCTGGCAAGAATCGTCGTTGGGACTGGGAGTGATTAGAGTACCGAACCAAGAGAGATTCTTTTCTTTCAGCACTTGATAAAAAGACGCCTCCAGCTCGTCATACTGCAAAAGAGCGTCCTCAAACAGGTTGACACCCTGGAACGAGCCCGCAAGACTTTCCTAAATTCGGATTAGTCTTTGCTGAAGGGTGCCACGAGCTCTGTACCTTGAGGATGAAAAAAGTACAAAAGTTCCAACCGGGCATTTGCCGCTGGCTCTCGGACCGCTTAACTTCGTCTTCCCTCTGTGCCACCGCGAGATCGAAAGAGGACAACAGGCCGTCCTTGAGTTTGTTGACAAATTCCGCCCATGCGGCAGGATTGTCGTATCCGGAGGTCCATGCGAGCTGTACACACCTTGTCGGCGAGTAAGAATGCATGTAGGTTTCGTAAAATTATATGAGCACCTATCCCGCCTGTCGGTGTTGAAGTCTGCCTTCAGCTTGTCCAGGACGGAGCCCTTCAGCTGGAAGAAATTTCCACTCGGCGTCCGTGCATCTGGCCGGACGACGTGGAGTATAAGCCATTCTTGGTTTTTCCGAGAGGTAACAATGGAGTGCCAATCTTTGACTTGACGCTTGATTGAAGTCTTGTATGTTTCAAGGTCGGTATCCTTGCGCGAGTGTTAGATTCTGGCCAGAGTCCGCATTAACCCGGTTACCTCACAAGTAACGATGTAGATGTTGAGGAACGGTTTCTCCAGCAGAGTTGCCGGAATTTGGGACGTGTGTTCGTCGCGTAAAGACTCGAGTGGCACGAGCGAAATGTCTAGTTCTTGGATGGTTCTGATCGACGGCCGAGACGGGGACTTCCAATGGATGTTGCGCAACGGCAGCTGTGCAAGAAGGGCGGTGTGAATTTGGTCCCAGTTCCCAGAGGACAGGAACGCCTGTGCCCCAGAATAAGACACGAGCACGCGCTGGGAAGGTGCCATGTCGAATGTTTGTCTGTGTCATGCGATCCAAACAACCACCTGTCGCCCAATGCGGAAGGTACTCATTTTGTAGAGCCAAACTTGAAGAAATGAATGTAGCAATGAGTCTCCCGACACCAACATGCCATTCCAAAACAAAAATTTATTACGGGACACAGTTGCTTCACACAGCAACCGTGGTCCATGGAGTACCGACGCCGCATTCCCCAGCTGGTACCCCACACGCGACTGTCAAATGACATGTGTTGGCGTCTAATGAACGGGAGACGAAGTTTTGGTGCCCTGAAGGATGTAGAACTCGAGATTCAAACTGAAAATCCAGGACAAGCCGTTACTAGTACTTCTCACAGCACCGATGCCTTTACGTTTATATTTACAATGTGGGGCTCATTTACATATCCATGAAACACAAATAAGTATCGTAGACATAATGCATCTCTCTTGTTTAACGGACTTGCTTCAAATCGAACAATTTCGGCTGTAACGCATGTGGACATCACCTACCACTCGGACACTTGCGTTCTACTCAATCATTTCTGGACCGTTTTTCGAGATCTTTGTTTCTATGGACTCTCAAGGATGTGTTCTGAAGTCTAGGACAAAAAAATCCACAGGTTACGGGCTCCATTCCCCCATTTATTACCCAAGAAGTTGGCAGGTGGTAGGAAATTGACGGTTTTCACCTATTTTATGCATTCCACAGATAAATGGGAGATCAGAAACATCGAAGGAGGCTTTCAGACCACAGTTATATACAAGAGGTATGCTCAAAGAAGCTTTTGTGCATGCAGATGCTCTGATGCTTTCAGAATGAACCGAATATCAAAGATTTCCATACTAAAAGTGTTCAATTGAAAAAATTATGCCGTTTATCGACGAATGGGTGATTTCACACAAACCAAAATGCTAGATCACATTAAAGGGAGGATCTGCGTCGGGTGGTGCACTCGGATTGTGCTAGAAATAAGTCGATACCGAGATATTCACCGATCTTCGTTAAATGTCCGGAATGACTGGGAAGGACAGTACTTGCCGGCAAACTGTATTTCCGCCACTATGAGAAGCAAGGCAACTGGGTATGGACTCTGGGGAGTTAAAAAGGATAAAATAAACTGATCAGAAGAGGCCAAAACTGTGCTTCGAGCAAAAAGACTCGACACCTGTGCGATTCGAACACACGCGGGGGATGTGTGTCTTCCAGAAGAGGCCAGAACTACAAAAAGACTCGACACCTGCGCGATTCGAACACACAAAAAGACTCGACACCTGTGCGATTCGAACACACGCGGGGAAACCCCAATGCCTTTACCAGCTAACATAGCAGGGCATCGCCTTAACCACTCGGCCAAAGTGTCCATGGGAACAGGTGTAGGGCAGCCAAATAAATAGCGATTTATTCCGAGTCCAAGAATCTAGGAAATCGAATAACAGACGGGATAACACCAGCGCGAGATACGCCCTCGTGTGACGCTCTGCTGACTGAGCTAAAGGGGAGCATTCCACGTGGATGGATAACAGTGGACACGTTAACCAGCTGGGTGAGGCCCAAGAATAATAGAATAATTCCACCCAGGCCTTGCCTGCATCAGCAAAACCTGATTTTTACCCTAGTGGGCTGTAGTTGCCTGTAGCGGCCCTATGTATGGCTGTAGTGCTATGTAGTGCTACATAGTTTTAGGGGTTCTACATAGTGCTACATAGTTTTGGCCACACTACATAGTGCTCTGTAGTAGAATAGGGGTACTCTGTAGTGCTTCATAGTTAAATAGGGGCAGTATGTATTTACAAAGCAGTTTGCGCTCTATAACACCAGCCAGGAGACCGACCATGGGCTGAAACATTTCATCGCGCCAGTTACTCGTTGAAAAATATTCAATTAATACGACAGTGTAGTAACTACTGAGATAATGCATAGAAGAGTTCTTTATTGAACCATTTGGACAGCCAAAAGTCCTCGCAGTAGTCCAAACTCAATTCCTTTGATAATCGCCTGTCTGCGGTCTTTCCGAATCGAGGGCTGAGCTCAACCGGAACGCGAAGTCGATCCAATGGGACAACATCACCCAATCTAGACTGATCTGACCTTCGAGCTCGTTTGAGCTGATACATACCGCTGGCTGGCTCCGGGAAGGGTCCTCTCACTTTGCTCGTGGGATCCAGGTGATGCACTATATCGAACCGCTGAACATATGCGAGAAACCCGTTGGTTCCTGCCAGCTGGTTACAACCTCTCGCGGGAACAACACAGAATATCATCTGAACTTGGCACACGGTGTGACCTGAACAAAAGATTGAATGCAAATTTAGAGCCAGTGCTTTAATACGTACCTTCAAGGCCACTACGCGGCCATTGAAGCCCGGAATCACTGTTAACAATCACCGCATCAGCACGACCACATTTCCAATGACGATCTGGGGGAGCAGCGTTGATAGTCTCCGGTACCAGTATTTTATTGGTATCGTGAAAAGCGCGGGATTGGATGCGGACATTGTGCCAAACTTCCAGTTTTTTGAACGGAAGCTTTTCCTCGAGCCTCGGGCGCCTGCCGCCAATTACAATCAGGTTCCCATGCGACCGGTGCAAGAATGCCGCGAGGGCGGGCCGCAAATCCGGTAGCCGGAACCTGGTGGCGGCCGCGTCGACAGTTATTTGACGGCCAACATAGTCTCGAGCGAGATGGAACGCTGTGCTGCCGTCTGGCGATGTAAATGTTCGGAACGGGAGTGGGGCATTCGGGAATCGGCCTTCTGACAGCAGAGAGCTCTGTAGAAAGTAGTTCACGTTCACCCGGTTGGTACCAGAGAGACGGGCAACGGGATCAATTCGGTCCAACAGCTCGGAAGTGCGATTGACCAACAGCGAGGGCTCCTCATCCAAGATAGCGCTGGGTTCTGGATCGATCACTGGCACCGGGTCACGAGCACCAAAGTCGACACCTGCACTTGCAATCGCAGTTGCGAGATCGAAATGCCTACACTTGTCCCCGCGGTCTAGGTGCCGGCATATCTGGGCCTCGTAATTCTGGTTGTTGGAGTTGTAAGCAGGGTCCTTCACCAGGGTGATATAGGCGTGCTCAGTAACATCAGCACTCCATTGAAGTGGGACTCCGTTGGCACGAATAGCCGGAATGACGCTTTGGAGGAATTCTAGTTTTGGAATATACCAGTTGTCGATCGGGCCCTTTTTCCCTTTCCGAACACCGGCTTTGAGAATAGAATCCTTCTTGTTATGAAATGTCTTTAAGCACGTGGACATCTTTGACAAGATGTCTTCGCTTATGGCCGGGGCTTGACCGTAGTAGAAAAAATCGTTGAGCGACGCAATAGTTGTCAAAAAATCCTTTGGCACGGCCCCTGCGATTATGGGGACAATGTATCGTTGTATGTCTCTATGTTCTCGTCCCGTCGTCTGCTTCGCCTTGGAGATTCCTTCCTTGAAATGACGCATTCCCGAATGCGGTCGCAGCACAGAGAATTGAAAGTCTATTTCTGCGGCACCAAGGGCTTGAATGCACCATTGGCAGAGATGATCATAGAACATTTTCAGCCAATGGTGCAGGATTTCGGGTGTAAGAAACTCTGAAGGTTCGGCCAATGGCCAATTTCGCCAGAAGGGTCGGTGAACGCCGTTGAGACGAAGTTTTTTGGCTGCCTTGATGTACACTGAAAGATCCCAGGGATCAATTTCCCGCTCCAGCCTGATTAGTTGCGAAAGTGTGTGCGAGGCCATCCTTGGTGGATGTCGGAACGGATCACCGAAATGCTTGTATGAGGCCGTCGTGACGGATGATGTTTTCCCTGCAACCCCAGCTATTAGAGCAGATTCAGGGGTGTCGACAATGTACGCGACGAGAGGAGTAAAACAGAATCTCCGCCAGCCCAAAGGGTCGGTCATCATCAACCCAATTTGTGCAGTCTTTTTAAGTGGCTCAAGGACAAAGTCCATGACGGAATGGAAGAGACGGCTGTCTAACACACCCCTGATCTCGGGGTTCTTTTCCCGAAATTTAGCGATGGGGAGTAAGGCTAGAAGTAGAAAAGCGTGATGAGACGCTTTCATACGAAAGTCCATATCAATTGCTGCCAGGCTGATCAAGAGAGGGTGGGCCTGGCGGTTTCCAGTCATAGCAGACAGTTGAGTCTTATCCGAGGACAGTATCGATCCAAGAACGGTGGCGCCGTCGGGCACTTCGCCCTGAATCAAATGTCAAACTCATGTCCGCTACACGAGAGGGATCGCTTACCTGTATATTCCAGGCCACATCACCCGAGAGCCATTCGGTATAAACTCTCATCAATTTTTCAGATGTTGCCCACAGGCGGAACGGACTAAATTGTATGAAGTCCTGGACGAGAGGATTCCGAAGCAAGGTTTGTAGGCACTCCAAGGGATCCCGGTAATACAGAGTCAGCGGGCTTTTGGTGGGATACTGTGTCTTCCATGTGATCGCTTGCCACTCGGGGCCACTAGGTAAGATTTCAATACGGCTGCGAAGATCTTTCGCAGTTTCGAAGGATAAACTCATTTTTGCCGTCTGCAGGATAGCTCGAATCATATTCTCTGTACTCGAAAGAGGAATTCATACCAAGCGTAATTTAAGGAACTCATCAGTAGCAGCGACAGTCATGTTGGACCTCACAATGAACGAGGTGATCTCCCATTCGTCAGCGGAGGCAAAGGGATAGTATAAGTTGGACCGGCGTTCATTCGCGTGCGTGTCGCGACGAAAGGTGTCCATGAATGTGTCGGCACGTCCGTATGTCTGGGCCGCGCCGGGGTAATACTCCCGATAGAAATTCTTGGGAGCAGGATCTTCGTCGTCGTTCATGGGGGTGTCGGCAAACAGGGGAGCATCAAACTCTTCCTCATAGATTTGAGAAGCCATTTGAGCCTGGCTCCCCTTCCTCAGGTTATATTTTTGCGTGATAGTTTGGGCCGCTTTCAGGACTGCCGGATGCAAAGAGGGATGGCAGCGGCCGTTGGG